CCAATCCATTCTTAGAATGACGTCAAAATTAGACATTTTCATAACCCTTAGATCACAGATCAAATATGAGCTGGAGATTTTTAGTTCACAAGATTTACATACCAGATTTACTCGGGATTAACCACCAAAGGGTGAAGCAACATTCATAGCTATCTCTAACGTTTTGGGCTCCAAACCCGGACTTGATATACATGCAGTGGATATAAAAGAATGCGATGCTCCAGAGTCCAACAATACTTTAACCTAAGAATTCATGAGAATTAACATACTTTGAATTATTGATGGGTTACCAACATCTTCTTTTTCTTGAAGAGCGTACATTCTTCCTATTGCTTATTGGTTAGTCCCTCCTAGTTTCTTTCCATCTCCATCTCCTTGTTGTTGTGTTCTTGGCTTGTCCGCATTCCTAGAGGCTTGTGGCTGCCCCTTGTTGGTTTGAGTGTGTTTAGAACCTTGTCCTGACTGGCATTTGTTGTATTGTTGTGCCACTTGTTGATCCATAAAATATTCCCCACCTTGAGGACACTCACTTTGACGATGCCCCTGTTTACATCTGAAACACTTTCCTTTCCACTCATTTATAGAGTGTCCTCCTTGTTGGTTTCCTCGATTCTACCTTTCTTGCTATTGCAACCTTCGACATAAGGTGCTGGTGTAGGATGGTTTTTGGTGTTTCGAACTGGACCTACTCCTCGTGATTGGTTATTGTTCCCTGATTGTTGATTTTGAATGCGTTCGGAATTTGCTAATTCACGTTCCACAATTAAAGCTCGATCCACCATTTGATCATAGGTGGAAAGTTGTACCTTAGTTGCACGAAGCGGGGGCGGGAGCGGAAGCGGGAGTGGGGGAACGTGGCCACTTAGAGGAGTCGTAAATTAGGAGCGCTTATATATTATTTTTATTAATTATATTTTATTTATTATAATAAATAATGAATAATAAATTATGTTAAAATAAATAAAGAATAAAAATTAGATTTTTTATAATAAAAATTAGATTTTTTATTTTAAATTTTTTTAACAAATCCGATAATTAATTTTTATTTTAACAATAGAAACTTCTTAGGTTGGGAGCGTCTCGGGAAGCTATATATATATATATTTTAATGCACATTAGAAGTTTTTTTATAAATATTTTTATTTTAATATACATTAATTATTTTATTACCGCCTAGGCACGAGAGACTTGTGGGAGAAGACGGGACTCGAATTAGATATTTTGTTTTATAATTTTTTTATTATATGTGATTTAATTAGATTTCTTTTAAATAATTAGATAATTTATTTTATTTATTATATGTTAAAAAGTTAAGAAATAATAATTTACAAAAATTATTATTATATATGATATTTTAAGAAATAATAATTAGAAATTTTATTATATATGATAAAAATTATAATTTATAAAATTTATTACATAAATTATATATGATAAATTATACATATTTTTTAAAATGACTTTATCATGTATAATATAATATATATATATATATAAATATTATATGATAAATTATATATATTATATATTATATATGATCTATCTAGAGACGAAGAGAGTGTGTGAAGAGAACAACGACAGAGATGAAGAGCAGAAGCAGAGACGAAGAGAAAGAGAGAGAGAAGAACAAAGAAAGTGACGAAGACGAAGACAATCGAGAGAGTGACAAAGACGATCGCGAGAGTGACGAAGATGATCGAAGCCCTTTCTCCTCTCATGTCGACGTCGAAGGTTAGGGTTTCTGTCTGTCTGTCTCTCTTCCCTTTACGATCCCATCTTGCATTGAATCGCGTTTCTCTCTCCACTGAAACGCGATTCTTACACGTTTCTTACTAGGAATCGCGGAATCGCGATTCTCATCAATCTTTCTCTAATATCTGTGTCCAAATTCGATTTGAATCGTCTAATCTTATCCTCTTCATTTGTTACTTTTGCTGAAGCATACCATGAGAGAGCCTCAAAATGGTTTGCATATTGAGTAACTGACATTTTTCCTTGTTTCAGTTGGAGGAACTCTTGAACCATTTCTTGTCTTAGTGAGTTGGGAAAATATTTTTCCATAAACAGGTCTTCAAATTGCCTCCAAGTCAATGTCTCTACTTGTTGGGTACTTCTAATCATTTCCCACCAATGATCTGCTTCCACTTCCATTTGAAATACCGCTATGGTCACCCTATCTTGTTCATTTCAAATGTCAAAAGTGTCTAGTAATTTCTTAATTTGTCTTAACCAAGCTTTAGCTTCGCAAGGGTTAGATCCACCAAGGAATTTGTGAAGATGTAATTTTTCGAACTTTGCTATCATTTTAGATTTGTTGTGATCGTGATTTCACGGTGTTATATTGCCTACCCTATCGGCAATTGTGCGTATAATCGGAGTGACATCGCCATTAGACACTCCATCACCATTACTGTTATTATTTCTTGTTCGTCCAGTCATTCTGCATGATCGAATTGTTGGTAATTCGTGACTTATGTATTTATTAATTTATTATCATCACAATTACTATACATATATATTTATATGCAAAGACAGTAATTAAAGATTTCATAAAAGGAAACTTCATTCATTAGATGGGACAAGTTATAGAACAGCAAAATACAAATAAAAAAAATAAAATACTACGGGCTTAATATAAGACAAATGATAGTCTCTACTAATCAAGGTTAATACAAATGATATTAGAGTTACCTACACCAACAACTTTAAAGCAATTTTTACACTGTAAGCTTATAAAACAATTAGTTAGCCTAGTTTGTAACTCCTCTAAGACCTCTAATCAAACAGCCATGGATAGTCCCTCGTCACAAGGATTTTCTTCTCCCATGTGGCTTGGAAAAGCCCCATGAATCGCTATAGCACCCTCACAAAAACAACAGTTTCATGCACAAAATGTCCCAATAGCTATATCGGTTCCTCTCGATAAATTCTCTAATATTTGAATTCCACCGATCCATCTGTCTTCACAATTCGATTTGGGTTAGGCATGACATACTGAAAACTCCAAATATCAAAAAGGTTGCCCATTCTATCAGTAAAGCCATTCGGGAAACGGCCTAACTAATACAACCAGGGATTTTCTTGCCTTAAAATCTAGACAGGTCCGATGTAAGCACCTACTCAACTTTCAGACTTCCAAGCACAGCTTCCTAAGGTAAAAATCCTAATATACACAAATGAGCCAATTTACAACCTATTTTGAACATTCCAATTTTCAAATGCAACCCCTATATCTCTAGTACTTTCGTCAATATTACCCTCTACGGATTCCTCCTCGGTGTCAAACTCAATCACAATCACCTCCATTGGGTCATACATAGGTGCAATTTCTTCGGATTCAGACTCAAACTCAGACTCAGGCTCATAGTCTTCTATTGTTGACTCCACTTCTTCACTTAGGTCAGACTCTATTTCATAATTTCCCACCAAATCTTCCTCGTGAGAGTTAACATCCGACGATCCTAGTGTCCTACAATTAAAAAAGTTTTGACTTAGTTATGTCATAGAAAATTACAAGGCAACATAAGGTTTTTGCAAAAAAATTTAATTACTACCCATGGCCCAAAGGTTCGAACCTAAGTTCTGATTCCAAATTGTGACACCCAAAATTTTTGGAACATCAAGAATTTAAATAACATAATAACTTATTAAATTAAAATTTTGACATCTTAAAAGGAAAATTTAATTTTCTCACACAGTCAAAGGTTTAACAACACGAAATTAAAAAAAAAATTGAAAGTCCACATACAACATTAAATAACATCATAACATCCTAATACATAAGATAGTGAAATTTTATTTTGCTAAAATCTTTACTTCAAGTTAGTCAAGATTCTATATTAACAATAGCACCAATTTCAGCTTCCATTTCTTCCTCGTCAAAATATGACATAAAACGCCAGGGCAACAAAGGGTTGTTTTGGGAAGATGGTAAAAAGTGACTTTTTGGCTTTTAACCAAGCTTTTGGCTTTTTTAGACAAATGATTTGGGAAGTCGGTAAAAAGTAACTTTTGACTTTTTTGATTAATGTTTGTTTATGATGTCAAATCATAATAAAATGACCAAACTACTCCTATTTATTTAAAATATTTACAACTTTACTTATGTAACACATTTTGACCCATGAGGGGTAAAATTGTAATTTCACCGTTGGCTAAAAACCAACTTCCCAAATGAAAAAAAGACAAAAAAAGCCAACTTTTGAATTTTGCTACTAACCAAAAAAAGTGGCTAAAAACTATGTTGCCAAAACAACCCAAAATATATGCCATGAGTTTTGCGACACAGTAAGAAAACATAACTAACCTATCATTTTTTTTAAGAGAAAATAATTAGATTAATAATCATGACAATTAAGAGGAAATGATGGAATTAATAGCCTAATAATATAACTATTAAAATAATTTCAACAATTTTAATAGTTTAGGTGATACTCAAAATCTCACCAAAGAGATTTTCTTACCAACTACTAAGTTATGGTCAAGAAAGCTAAGCCTCATCACTCTGAGCACCACATCGACAGAGAATAAGCCCCCAGTTGCAAGCATCATCTCCTACAAACCAGCCCACTAAGCCACAAACTGGTTGGTAACTGCTTCAGGGTTACTTCTACCACTTCATGCACACAATCACCTTCTTCATGCCACCTGTCCCTCTGATCAATGGAACACTTTTACTCTCCATTGCCACATGTCATCACTCAATTAATCCCCTTGTCAATAGGAAGTTTACAAAAATGGGTGCAAACAGTTACCAAATAGTTTTCACCCTCCAGGGTTGTTCCCTCCATTTAGGCACCTCAATTGCTATGTATGTTCCTTGAGATAAGTAAATACTGCCTTAAGTTTCGGTGTACCTTAATGTTGATAAATGTTCCTTGAATAGAATGATAATTTTCAGTTAATTGTTTCTCCTACCTTGTTCTGCTAGTGACATCGAATTACATATTTTGCTCAGTGGCAATTTTTTTGGTTTATTATTTTTTGGTTTTTTTTTCCAGGTCTATTACAAGTTCAACAACCTTTCATTGCTGAGGGAGCCATTGATGTTGATTTCTGGATTTTTCTTCCTGTTTGTTGCCTGCATTGTATATATGCATGCGGACTTAACAATCTCGAAGTCTTCTGCTTCTTACGTGGCAAAACTGCAGTGGGATGAGGTAGTGAGGATTTGATGTTGCTCATTCTAACTATATTAATTAGTCTATAATATTATATACTTAGCTGTCCTTTTCAGGTTCAAACAGCTATTCAGCAGGTTCAAAACATCATCAATCGGTGTTTGACAATCCATGATAGGCTAGAAGCATCGTTACGTGATCTCTCCAGAACAGGGGATGTGCAAGCTTGTAAAGCAACTCGGAAAGCAGCTGACAGTTCATTGAAAGAGCTTTCCAAAGAATTGAAGCCCTTGGTTGCTTTCTTGCATTCCTCTCCGCAGGCTGCTCAGATATTGCCGAAGGTTTGGGTGCTACCTATTTGATACTCTCCACTATTTTTTAAAAAAAATATAGTCCACTATGTGATGAGGTTTAATAAATGAAATTGAGTTGACTGTATGCCTCAAGTGAGTTGACCAGGGCTTTTCTTGTTTTGGTAAGGAACTGTTTTTGCTTGAGGTAACGGATAACATGATAATACACGGAGATAGCTAGAAAAACCCTATTGTTTGCCACATGCTTGTTTTATTTTTATTTATCTGGAACCCAAAATTTGTACTTTATGCATAGATTATTTATTATGCACATCATTCCTTCTATTTTTCGTTGGCATAAGTGCTGTTGAAAGCTTGTTGGCTGTTCATATAGGTGGAGGAGCTGGTTGTCAAGGAGAGAGAACTGCAGGAGAAGCTAATGTCAAAACACTCGACAGTGGTAGACATTTATGAAAAGAAAACTGGGGGACGGGAAATTGAGAACCGGGTTGCTTTGATCCAGCAGAAACTCACAGCTTTGAGGCAGGAGGTTGAAGACCAGCTGGAAGCCATTGATTAGATCTAATATATGAATAAAATTAGTCTGCACTTTGTGTTTTGTTGGGCGATTTGTGAAATCAGAATTTTGTTGTGGTCTCAAGGATAGCTTGATGTGTTAGCCCCAACATCTATGGTTTTTGTTTTTGTTTCAATAGATTTAACTATAAAATATATATATATATATAGAACTGATTACTTATCCATCTGACTTGTATACATGTCCACCAAATGATTTTTTTGTTGGGGTAATATTCTAAGACCAAATGATTTGATTGGTGGCTTACATTTCTGATATGACATTTTACTTATCAAATATATATATATATATATATTATGGCATTAGTCATTGATCTGAGTTGTCTTTTAGATTGCCCACTAGTGAATTTCATCACCTGTTATGTTATAATGTTGATTGTTAACGGTGGTAATACCTGTCAAACAAATTTAGGTACTTACGTGTACTGATTGTTAGTTGATATTTGCTATTGAATATACAAGTAAAACTATAGTTAACAGCTTGTTGTAATTTTAGTTTTATCTGTTGTCTTTTTTGTTCAATTTGGTTCTGGAGCACACAAACGTCTCCACGTGCCAAGCATGACTGCAATAGGTTGATTATGTTTTACTGTTAATGGTGTTCAATTCTCTTCTTCTCCTAGTTCAAAACTAAATAATTGATTTGTAACCTTAAACTACAAATAATAATAATAATAATAATTTCATAACTCCACCATAATTTCATAATAAAAATAGTAAAAAGCTTCTTTTCATAATTTCATAATTCCACCATAATTCTATAATAAAAATAGTAAAAAAAAATTTTCCACCATGAAGATAGAATGTTATAGATAAGTTTTGGCTGAGCGGTTTGTCGTTAGCGTCGGCTGAAAAGATTTTGCTGATCACTTTTTGTCGAATGATGTAGGTTGCTTCACGTGTCCTAGATAAGGTTGGAGTCGATCAGGAGACAACTGCATTTGATAGTGGGGTCTACTATGCTTCCATCCTGTTAATGAGATTGTGATATTCTTCAACAGTCTCTGATGGTGGGGAATCCGGATCTTGGCTGTATTGCTCATTCTGAAAATATTCTACATCATTCGCGGTCATGGCTAGTTTCAACGAAAGATTTAAATTATTTCTCTTTTTGAGATTTATTAACATGTCAAGAGCCTCATTAATTTGTGTAGGAGACCTTTGATATGTTATGGAAAAATGAGTTACAAATACTATTCTACCATCTGTAACCATGAATGGCAATTTTGCTGAGCCATGGATGTTGGACGCTGCTTGTGAAACAGATATTAGACTGTGTATCCAATATTCTGTCAAATAAAATTTTTGGATATTTTCCAATCGCTCTCTCCGGTGATCTTCATCTAAATAATCATCTTCAAATTCAAAATCTTCAGTTTCTTTAAAATACCAAATTTGGTATGGTTGGAAAAAATGTTCTCGTTCTCGCCAACCAACAGTGCTGGAGATCTCGAAAGTAAAATATTTGCTCCATCGAAAGCCTTTCACTATCCATGAGAGCATTGCTTTGATGATCATTGGATGATCTATCCATTAGATTGGATCTAAAATTTGGAAAATAACTTGATTAATTATTCCCCAATCTATATCCTCAAAAAACCACATGTCATGGTTTGCCATGATGGTTATTTTGGGAATTCCATTTTCAAATTTAATTTATCATAAGATCGTTCTGAGATTTGTCTAATCTTATCATAATGATCTTCAACTCGATTTTTAATTAATATAAAAATTTCTTTTGGAAGCAAAGTTCTTGCTTTTTCAAAAAGACAAATTCTTTTTATTTGTTCAAAAACTGGATCAGAAAACTCATCTGATATGAGGTCTGATAGCTGAAGAAAGTTGTTTATTTTTTCAAAATTAAAATCTTCATTCCAATTCATTTGTTTAAGAATATTAAAACAAATATTTTACAAATCTTTTAATTTAGCTGTTTGTTCAGCTAATTTGTTGGCTAGAACTTTCATATGTTTTCGAAATTTCACTTTATTGTCTACAATGTGAGTTTTCCAAACTCCATTGAGTTCTGTATAAATTTCTCTGGATATACCAGGGTTGAAAAAATATTTTATCTCAGATTTATCTGGTTTAGATGTCTGAATATTAGTTGGAACTGGGTTAGTTCTCATTTGATTCCTTTGATAAATAGGCATGACTGGTGCACTGTAAAAAGCTTTTTTAGCTTTAGTCATGCTATCATATGCTTTATAGCTCGCTCCTGAATATCCACAAACTTGCAGATTGGCTTCGTTCCAGTCTGTTTAAATTCCAGGTTGTCTACGTGCAAACACAAGATAAACTTTTTCTTCTCTGGGGATTGCTTTTTTAGCAATTGTCACCCAATCTCCTTGAGCGGGTTGTTTACCCTTATCCATTGTTTCCTCTTGGTCTAGAGGTTTTCTGTAAAAATTAAATTTACTTGTTTAGCAATTTAATTTTCTGAAACAATTTCTGCTAAGAAAATCTGCATGAAAATTGTTAGTACCTTTAAGATGTTCTACTTCAAAAGTATATTCAGAAATTTTATTATACCAGGCTAATCTTCTACCTTGTTCAATAGGTTTTTTATTGATGAAGAAATCTCTTACTGTCTTATTATCAGTGCGTACAATAAAATTTTCTGGAGCTAAATAAATATGAAAACTCTTTATTGCCGATTTTATTTCAAGTAATTCTTTTTCAAAAATAATATATTTCTGTTCATTTGGTTTAAATGTTCTAGAATTATATCCGCAAATTAATTCTTCTTTTTTTAATTTTATGGGTATTGAATTTTTTCTTGGTCTAATCCCATTTTCTGATAAAGGTATCTCTTTATCATGCCATAAATTACTGGGTATAGCTTTAAGAACACATCCCCAGTATGCTTCTGAGGTGTCTGTTTCTAAAATTAATTTATCACCTGTTTTAGGAAGATAAACATCCGGTAAAGTTTTAACATTTTCTTTAATTTGTTTAATTAAAGCAACATATTCTGCTGTCCATTCAAAAATAACATTTTTCCTTAATTTGGTTAACCAAGGAATTTCTATTTTTGAAAGATTTTTGATAAAATTTCGTCCATAATTTAAAATGCCTAATAAACTCGGTAATTGTGTTATATTTTCAAGAGTATCAGGAAAATCTCGTACTTTGGACAAAATATGTTCTTGTAATTTTAAACCTTTCTGGTCTAAAATTATTCCCAAAAATTCAATTGATTCTTTTTCTAATTCAATCTTTTTTGGAGACAAAATAATTCCATATTTTTGGAATTTTTTACAAAGTAATTTTAAATGTTTCTTATGCTCCTCCTTGGTTTTAGAGAAGATAAGTATATCATCAATATAAACTACACAACAATCTTTAAGGTCTTTAAAAATTGTATCCATCCACCGTTGAAATACCTGTGGTACAATATTTAATCCAAAGGGCATAACATTCCAGTGGTAATGTCCTTTAGGTGTATTGAAGGCTGTCAATTTTTTTGACTCTTCAGTCAATTGAATTTGCCAAAATCCACTTTTACAATCAAATTTGCTAAAGATTTTTGATCCTTTGGTTAAGTTAATCAAAATATCTTTTCGTGGAATAAAATATCCATCAAATTCTAAATTTTCATTTATCCATTTATAGTTGACTACCATTCGGGCTTTTCCTCTTTTAATTTCAGCATGGTTTCTTACCATAAAAGCTGGACTAGAGTGAGGGCTTTTAATTTCTTCAATTAACTTTTTGTCTAAAAGTTCCTGGAGTTGAATATCAAATTCATCTATATCTTGTCTAGTATAGATCATCGGTCTTACTCTAATGATAACATTAGGGTCTTTTAATTAACCATAACAGCCTTATTTCGCCAAGGGATAGATACTCCTCTTTTGGCAGTAATTTTTTACAAAAGATTTTCCGACCCAAGGAAAGCAATCATTGGAGGAATTCAGTCTAATTTGGCTAATGAAGTAGTTTGGTTTAATGTTCGACCAAATTTCTTTATTTTCATAAATGATCCTAATCTTGAAGATACAGTCAGAATAAGAATTAAAACACAAGGATTAGGAATGAAATCAAATTATCATGATTTGGCTATTCGTTGGAAAACAATTCACAAATTAACCAAATTTCCTGAAACAAAAACAAGATCAAACGATAATAAAATCGTTGAGATCTTTGAACCAAGACCATTTGACACGGTAATACAACATCGTCTAATGAATTGGAGAGATTTAGAAGTCTCTCGACAATGGTTAATCCAAGACCTAGTGGGACAAGGAGAATCTTCTAAAACAAAAAAACCTGCACAATTACAAATGCAGGCATCAGGAAAAAAATTATATATTGAAAATACAGTTCCAAAAATTAAAAGATCAACTTCTGTATTTGAAAAAGATTTTTCTAACAAATCATTTTCAAAGTTAAGCATGGGAGAATCAAGTAATAATTCTAATCAAGAATCTATTACTTCAAACAATGTTCAGATTCCTATTTTTCCAGGAACAAGGAAACTTGAACATATTAAGTCTGCATATATGTATCATTTTCAAATAAAAAATGATGACATTATTTTTTCTCCTAGCCAGGGAAAAAGAAGATATACATATGTACTGAGAACATTTAATTTTGCAGGTTATAAACCCTATAGCCTCAGTGTTCTCATAGACACAGAAGCTACAGTTAGCTCATGTAAATGGAATGCCATACCAAAGGAAAAATAGACATTAATGAAACATCCAATTTTGGTTACTGGAATTGATGACAACCATATCTCCATACAATTCAAGGCTAAAAATATAGCTATTTGGTTAAATGATAACAAATTCATTATACCAAAAATTTTATGTTTTCTGTATATGCATGGAGATTTCCTTCTTGGAAATAATTTTATATATAAATATCTTCCAATGCAAATACAGGAAAAAGCCATTTCATTAAGCATAGACAATGTCTTAATTCATATTCCCTTGTTAAAACAACATAAATATATTTGTGATACAGAGTTTGCGCCCATGCCGCGTGATGATTTAACTCCCATCATCAAAACTATTGATGAATCACATTGGATTTATAAAATTTTAGAAGAAAATTTTAGTGAACATCCATTAAAACTATGGCAACGTAATCTACGTTATTGTAATTTAAAATTGAAAGACCCTAATGTTATCATTAGAGTAAGACCGATGATCTATACT